AGCAGGTTTTTTCCATGTGAGAGAGCTTTAAGTTTGGAGCTCTGCCATCAGAACCGTGGAGGCCCTCAACTAACTGTTAACTGAAATCTAAACTTTTATCTCAAATAAGCATGTGACACAGTCAAACTATTTTTGTCCAAAGTGCAGTGGCACTAAATATTTGTCTCTAATGAAAATACAGGACCAAAGTAAACAAGATTTTTGCATAGGTTTCTACTCACAAAAACCAAAATGTCCACCTTCCTTCTGTTCTTTATATTAATATATTAACGGACCCACTTTTAAAGTCCCATGAATAAAATTTCAGAACAAGATCTTAGAAACTAAGTGGACAAGTTACTCCAATCCTTTCCTGCCCCCCAAGAAAAGGGTTTTCACTAATGACAGAATGCAGACTAACAATTTAAAAGGTATGCACTTTTTTTTTTATACTCCATTAAAATTACCCGAACCTGTGCATTGGCAACTTATTTTTGTCAAAAACGTAACACTCATTTAGGGATTTCACATAAATATACTATGATCACAATAGCATCAACTGTAGTAGGATAAAGGAATGCTTATGACTGGTAAAAGCGCTGACACCAAGACAAGAACTTTTGGTGCTAGTCAGTACGACTACGAAACCTATTAAGGATGTATTAGTGTAGTCAATTAATGGATAAGCAAAAGCTTATAGGTTAATGCTATAGCCTACATGCATTTCCCTTCCCCTCCCCCCACCCAACTCCCCCCCAACTGTAGTAGGATAAAGGAATGCTTATGACTGGTAAAAGCGCTGACACCAAGACAAGAACTTTTGGTGCTAGTCAGTACGACTACGAAACCTATTAAGGATGTATTAGTGTAGTCAATTAATGGATAAGCAAAAGCTTATAGGTTAATGCTATAGCCTACATGCATTTCCCTTCCCCTCCCCCCACCCAACTCCCCCCCCATAAAATTTTTAGCAGGCTAGCCAGCAGCCTGACTCCATCCTGGCTCTCATTGGGTCTGGGACCTACCCTTGCTATGGCTCTGCATTTAAAATGTATTGGGAGCTGGGTGGGAGTTCTGCCTTGTGCTGGGTTGGGAGCTCAGACCCTCCATCCCCGCCGAGACGGGGGATGCTGCCACCCAAGATAGCAACACAGGGCAACAGGCAGCCGGTCCCGCTAGGGGAACTGATATAGCAGCAGCAGCATGGAGTGACAGGAGGCTTCTTGGGAGTGAGGCCGGAACGCACTGGCTATTGGTCCCGCCTCTGGGGACTATAACAGTCAAGTAACTGAAAATAATTCATGAGATTACTCGATTATTCAATTAACCAATATTTAACATGCCTAAAACCTATGCCTAATTAACATGTCTCAATGATGCTCAAAAACTTCCTAGGTCCTAAATCTGTAAGCTCTGATAATCGAACCTCTAGGGTTCAAGGAGGTTGCCAACACCGTGCCCTCAGCTTAAGTTAACCCTCTTACATTAAGAGCACACTGTTACAGGCATTCCAATAACAGGACGACTACTATAGAGACTTACTGCTATTTTATGCTTTTTTTCCCCCCAGTGCTAGAATCTCATACGTGAAAGATTTAAGATTAGAAATGTGTCACCTTCTTATACCAATTTACTATTTTTGAACTTTATACAAAAAAATCCTATCCCTCTACCAAGTGCAAATAAAAAGAAATGATCAAGACATGCCTGGCTTGTTAAATATGAGATTCCACTCAATTAAATAAAACTATTAGAAACAGCACGTCATGGATGTGGTAATGAAGATCATTCTGTAATATGTAACACCTCGTTAAACAGAGAGATCTGAGAACTATTTTGCACATCTTTCTTTAAACAAGCTTACTGCTGTAATAATTGTTCTTTCGTTTCAGATATATACCTGGCAAGAATTTGTACAAATACTGTAACTTCCTAACTGAAGACAGAGAAAAAACCCCACCATGCTTTCCTGTAATTTCTTCTTATATATATTATTTCACTTTGACTAAGATCTACAAGGCAGGGAATGTCTTCTTATTCATCAAGCACAATGCACACTTGTCATCACCTACAGCCCCCAACTTAAACCTGTCCAACACATTATCAATAAACTACAGCCTATACTGGAACAGGATACTAAACTCCAAGAGGCTCTGGGAGACAGACCCATAGTCTCCTATAGACAACCACCTAACCTCAAGATGATTCTTACCAACCACCACAGGACATACCACACTAACACCAACCCTAGCACCTTCCCTTGCAACAAACCCCGTTGCCAGCTTTGTCCACATATTCACTCTGCTGATACCATTATTGGACCTAACCAAGTGAGTTATAAGATCAAGAATACATATTCCTGCGCATCCAGAAATATAATTTATGCTATCGTGCTGAAAGTGTCCATCTGCTTGGTACACTGGACAAACGTCTCAGACACTTTGCCAAAGGATCAATGCCCACAAAACAGATATTAGACAGGATCACAAAGAAAAAACAGTTTCTTGCCATTTCAACCAGAAAGGACACTGTCTCAATGACTTAATTACCTGCATCCTGCTTCAGAAGCCTTTTAAATCTGCACTTGAAAGGGAATCCTCTGAACTGTCATTCATGCTAAAATTCGACACTCTACGCGTGGGTCTCAACGAAGACTCTGGCTATCTTACCCATTACAAAGATAGCCTCCCCAATTATCACCTCTAATACCATTAGCTCACAGACATTTACCAACCCCCTCCTCCCACATCCCCCTTCTGTTCTGAAATTTGATTTGTCCTTTTCATGTGTGTTCATTTTTTAAAATTGTATCCTTTGGTATATATGGCTGTAACTATTTTCTTCCACTATTTGATCTGAGGAAATGGGTCTGGCCCACGAAAGCTCATCATCTAATAAATCATCTTGTTAATCTTTAAAGTGCTACATAGTCCTGTATTTTGTTTCAGCTACACCAGACTAACACAGCTACATTCCTATCACTGTTCACATTTATGATACTAATAAATCATAATAGAAGAAACTATGTATAGAGAAATTTTCAGTCAAACTAGTATTGAGCTCATCATAGAATCATAGACTACTAGGACTGGAAGGGACCTCGAGAGGTCATTGAGTCCAGTCCCCTGCCCTCGTGGCAGGACCCAGTACTGTCTAGATCATACCTGAGATCTCAAGAGATGGAGATTCCACAACCATCCTAGGCAATTTATTCTGGTGTTTGACTACCCTGACAGTTAGGGACTTTTTCCCTAATGTCCTACCTAAACCTCCCTTGCTGCAGTTTAAGCCCATTGCTTCTTGTTCTATCCAAGGATGTAAACAAATATCCATTAACATTTGTTGTTTCCCTGACTTTCACTTTTTTGAAAATCAAGACAACCAAAAGAAATAAAGACTACTGCAGTCCAAATCTTCTACACTCAGTTACTGTAAAACTAATATTAGCTATACTCCATTGATGCAGAATGCCACTTCGAACCTGGAACTTTTGGCTATTGTCCAAACACCATTCAAGATACAACTCAACATAGCAGATTGTTAATTTCAAACCCACTCGCTTACCAATCAAAGACTGGAGATTTGACAATTATCTTCCCCACCCCTTTCTTGTAGTATAAACCAGAAACCAATTCTACATACAGTCAACACAAAAACCTTTTCTACTCATCCAGTCACAAAGATATCTAGTTCCTAAAGGCTTCAATGAAGGCCAACCTGAGACATTATCCATATCTTACTGAACTTTAGAACCCATAATTCCACTGCTTTCACACATCCTTGCAAAATAGGCCTGGATCTCCAAATTCCTGGGGAAGAATAGGTTCAGGCTATATCATGCTGTAATGTTCCTCATTTTAGATACGTATATTTGAACAGGGAAGATTTAGTTTCATTCAATTCAGTAAGCGCTGGAATTCCCCCCCTAGTAAAGAGGGCAAATAAAGGTAATGGGGGAGAGTTAAGGCAAATGCTGGGATCATTCTGATATTTATGTTTCATGAATTATTGCTCTCTTGTTTCTTAACTTTTAAGATTTTTCTCTAGATTAACAAAACCTTCTACTATGTTATAAGTGAAAAGATATTTACAATCTTAATTCTTTATTAAAAACACATTTCAAGTAGTAGCACTGCTCTCTGAAAATCCCTCCCTCAAATGTCAATTGGAAGCAGTGCTCTTCAATTCTGTTCCCAAACTGTTGTATATTCAAATGCAACAGGACATAAAAATCATTGGTGTATTGTATCTGATGAGGACGAACATGGGGGGAGGGAGAGAGAGAGAGAGAGAGAGAGACAGACAACCCTTCCTAAACTCTCAGGCATTCAGCCTACACCTTAGAATATAAAGGTTTGATTATTTTTCTTAGGTTACAAAATAGTTCTCACAGTGTAAGAATGTACATGGATTTTAGACCTTCTGTAAGAAGCTGGAATAACAGATGTGCACTTAAATCTTCTACCCACTGAGCAACATAGGTAGCAACAGTGTAAGCCTCTCCATGTACCAGGCAATGTGCTGAGGTGATGTGCCTCAGCTCTAATCTGGATGGACCACATTTAGGGGGCAAGAATACAGCTGTTATTAATAGTCATTTTAGTTTATCATGTTGCATAACAGACCATCAAGGCCACATTGATTTGCTACACAGAGTGCCTTTGGAATAGGAATTTTCCTGGCTAGGCTCTACACACAGGAAAAAAGAGTATATCCCACAAATAAGCCACCAGAAAAAAAGTCATACTTTTTTTTGTCACTTTAACTTGTCCTCTGTTAAAGGGCCCGATCTTGCAAAGAGCTAAACATCCTCAAATTGCACTAATTTTAATAGGAAAGAAGGATAAATATCACCATGGAAAAGCAGGCCTAATTGCCCCCTCAGATGAACAGGCCAGAGTCACACACATAGCTGTTTTGTTTCTAGAGTACTTTGACTTGCTCTTGATGTTTTATCTTGATTCTCTGGACTATTTCCTCTGTGTTTTTCTAATTGTACTTTGTGTTCCAATCCACTGGTATTGCTTAGGCAGGATTTTCAGGTTTAAAAAAACAAAAACAAAAACAAAAAAAAACTTAGTTAGCCCTAATCAAGTCATAGTTATGGATCTTCCTTTTCAATATTTGTAAGGGATGTTTGCGTCTGCAGTTAAAATAAGCCATCTGCTCCTCTAATACAACATTCTTATATTGTAAGAGGCTCTGATGCCAAAGCAATGGGTATCATACGCATGTCTAAGACAAGACCACAAAATTATGCTGAAGGATGTTTTGCTAGCAGCCATTTTCCTTACCTTTAATGTGTTTATGTATATACAGTGCTTTGAAGAGGTAGGAGTGCTAGACAAGTACTAAGATTTGTTTTTAAATTTGCCCTTTCAAAAATAATCACAGTGTTATCACTGGGGCAGTTACTCTGTATGCAATCAAATCAGATTGGGCTCTCTCTTCACTGTTACCCATTGGAAATTCTACACAACTCGTGTACTCTAAAAACTGCATCACGCCATCTCCTATATTGAAGGCTTCATCACTAGTTTCTCATCCACTGCCTATGGAGATTCACTAGAAGAGTCAGTTCAAAAGTAAACCAAGGAGGAAATGAAAGCAGTACATGGATTTGCCTCAATTTACTTCATGTATTTGGACTCTTTTTCCAAGTTCAATCCTATTCATTTATAGCTTGCCTCCTCATTCCTTTCCACATTCTCTCAGAAATCACAGTACTAATTGCTGAAAGGGGGGTCCCCACTCCTTTCAAACAAACAAAGCAATCTCTACATGTATTATTTTTAATATACTGTAAAGCTCCCGAGAAGTGCAAGTTAACCGCTTTATTTACCTATCGAACAGGGAGAGCAGGACAAGGATCAGTGGAGACTTTCCCATACTGCCCCATCTATTTTACGTGACCATCAAAGACCCACATTCAGGTAGAAGGGCAACAATTTTTGGCCAAGAATGAACAGGACTGAGTTTCAGCCTTACGATCTGTAACCAGCCTGCTGAGGCACTGTGTCCAGTTTCCCTGCCCCAGCTACACTGCACACAAAAAGCTATCAGAATCTATTCAAACTGACAACATTTAAATCCCAACATTTGCCTATTAAGATGTTACCCATGCTTCCATCAAGCAGATCTCAAATCTTTTATGAGAAGGGACTGCACTACTTACACACAGTATGCTGAACTGAAAGAGGGAACTTCAGAAAACACCCTCTCAAATCTATTTTGTGATGCTATATTTTGACAGACCACATTTTAACTCTCTTAATTACACAGGGGAAGGAACAGGAAGGGAACATTTCTTGAACAATACAGTTTCACGCTACAGAAGTGATCTATTCCTTAATGTAATGAGATCAAATGTCATTCAAATGCACATGGAAAACACCATATGGACATATACCCAGTAGTGTCATCTCCCTACGGAACCCATCACAAGGCACAAGATTCTGACATGGCTAGCACTTTTTCCCCCTCCTTCACAAAAGCAGATAGCTCTATCTCCATCCTCTATCTCCATCCTCTATCATCTAGGCTGTTCCACAAAATGCACAGCTCCAACGCCATGGTGTTTGAGTAATCAATCATTTAGTATGCCTTGGAGCAGAGGTGGGCAATAATTTTCCAACAGAGGCCACTTAATTTTGGTACAGGTTATGGGGCTGGCTCCAATCCCTGCTCCCCTTTCCCCCAGAAGGAGCAGGGCCTGAAGCAAAAAGGGTCAGGGTCAGAGACTAGCATCCCTCCAGAATTGTCTGGGGCAGAATCTTTGAATTAAAAGCACAGCAAGGGGTTCATTGCCCTGCTACTACCACATTGCCTGGCAGCTGCCAAAGGTTGCCGTGGCTATTTAAAGGGCTCACAGCTCCAGCCCTGCAGGGGTAGTGCATGCCAGGGAGCTGTGAGCCCTTTAAATAGGATCCTGCTGCCTGAGCCACTGTCTGGAAATTTGGTGACATGGGTAGCAGGATATAAATAGAAAGTGGGGCAGAAGTCTTAGCTTGATCAGATCTGGCCCATGGGCTGCATCTTGCCCAGCCCTGCCTTGGAGTCTCACACGACTTTGTGTTTCATTGCATTTGATATACTTTTAATATAAATATTAGTATTGTAACTATCTATTGACCAATTTTTCCTTATAATGAAAGGCTATTTTAGATTCATCTTCATGTAAGACAGTTTTCCCCTCAATCATAATGACATTTGGCATTGCAAGACTGGCGTATGGTTAGCCCATCCGAATAGCAAACGTCTGCTCTGGCAAATTATGTTTAAAGCAAATCTACTTTGTTTAAGAGTTTGGTGGAAGAGAAAAACCCACCCACTCTTGCATCACAGATTTCTAAATTGTTGAGGAAGAATATTAATTGAGAATTTACACCGTTTTTCCTGAAGCTCTGTTACCTAAGGGTAAATCCTAATTTTCTACTTGCAACACACTAAAAAAAGTTCTATTAGTCCATTTCAACCTCATTTACAGAAGTGTTTAGAAAACAGTGATGCTTAATCAATTCTGAAGTATGTTTTCAGTTCCTCTTCAACATGTAATACAATCGTGGATATGCTTCAGTAGATAAATCTGTGTGCTCAGTTGGAAAATAGCTATTTACTTTTTGGTTTTGGTTTGTGTTCTGTTTTAATTGTTCTTTTTAATAATAGCTGGTCAGCTGTTTACAGTTACCTAGCTGCTAATGGGAACACAGACATCATACAAGGTCCACCAAGTATGAGGACTACTTTTGGACACCTGCTTAATATTGAAAGGCTAAGTTCCAATAGAGTTAACTTTAAGACAGTTGGAACCAAACAAAAATGTGGAGCTCTGATATACAGTGCACTAGGGTAAGCTTTAGGCAGATTAAAAATTGAAAGTGCTAAGTAGAAGCACATAACCCCAGTTTATGGAAGAGATGCTAGTATAATTAAAAGTTTTAGCAAAGAAATTCAATATTCGTAGTTTTCATATAGCACTTCTACAATTAATGTGACTAGCACTCTTCAAAATGTATTTGTGGTAACATGTTAGTAAAGGACATATTAAGAATTTTTTTTTTTTTAAAAGAAATGCATGATTAAAAGTTGACTCATTCATCAGGTTTCTTGTCAGAATTAGGTTAAAAAAAATCCTTCACTCTTCCAAAGCTGCTTTCTTAGACTTACTCAAATGTCTTCTTCTGTACATAAGAGAGGATTCACTTGGAGATAAGATGACCTCTTTTGCTTAGGGGAAAATTATGTTTGATTTTTTAAAAATCCCTATTTGATTTTTTGACATAGCACTTAATTACTATATTATTTTCCATGTGTGCACTGCTATAAAGGACAGGGTTTGTTTTTTTTAAAAGTGAACTACGAATGCACTGATAGTCGCTTTAGAAAATTTAAAAGATAGGTGAAGTGTAGCTAAAGATAAATTTGAGATGCCAATTAAATTATGCATATTTGTTTTAATAGTAATTACACATTAAAAATTGAAAAATTCACCCCTTACTGCAATCCAAATGATAACCGGAAAGTTGCAGATACCCAGAGGCTTTACCCAGCATACTGTTTTCAGATCATCAGTTCTTTGCAGAGATTAACAGAACTCTGATCTCAACAAAGCTAGTTTACATTCATAATAGCCAAAAGTATTCTGAAATCTATGTGCACACTCCAACTGAGCAACCCATTTGTTTAGATTTGAGAAGTATTTCAGTTTGCTTTAGTTGGAAAAGGAACAAGCTGATGTTTCAGTGCAGCAAATATTGAACGAGCTGTTGGTCTAGTGATGTTTTCTGAACGCATTTCAGTTATACTCAATATGATTATTAAATCCAGGTTGGAGGGCGAGACACATAATTTTGTTGTACAGTAGCAGAAGAAAACAATACTTGGAACTAGACCAACAGCTGGTTTAGTAATTACTGCAATGAAACATCATGTTGTAACTTTTCAAAATAAAGCAAACTGAAACACTTCCCAAACCTAACTAAAATTTTAACAAATCTCAACTTACCTGCTGTTACGGTCGGTGCTCTGTTCTGCTACCAAAGATTTTTTAGCCTTTTTATCTAATCCTGTGTTTGAGATATTATTTCCCAGTGGGCAAGAGGCATCATTACTTTTTCTTGCTAAGTCTGTTTGCCCGCCTGTGCTGTGTGCAGTTTTTGGAGTACCTCCACACATCTTTTTAGCGTAGATGTACTTTCCCAAAGGTTCTTGAAAATACTGAACGTAAGAGATAGGCTGTAGGGCTCAGCGTCCAGCAACCACAGACATTTCCTCACGGAGAAGAAATTTAACCAAGTCTTTTAAGCCATCCACGGGTTTCATTTTTAGCATGTTCCATCAGTAATTCTGGGAGACAGCTGCATCCAATGTAATATAGTATATTTATCCCAAATAAGACCACCACAAAGAACTCTGAAATTTTAAAGCCCATCCAAGTTTATCTCCTGCTTCTGTTGCTGGAGTTTTTCCACCCAGTGCAAAGCGGTCAGCAGATACAGCAGCTAATATTGATTTTAACTACCTTTGTTTCCTGGTATGTGATTATGTAGCTGGCAATTATTTATTTGGTCACAAGACCAAACCATATGGCCTCTGAAAGAAAGAGCATAGGTGATTTTGCACAGACTCACCCTTAGCTGCAAGGTTGTTCTAACACTGGCTGCAACACCCTCTTAATGGCTCTCATGTGAGCAAGTGTCATCTGACAACTCTTAGCAACCTCTTATGGCTCAGTACCATACTTCAAATGCAAATAAAAATCTATCAATACCCTACAGTTATCAGTAAGGAATGATTAACACCAGCAAACACCCCAGAATTTTTGCACAGTAATGGTTTTACTCTGTAAACAGTCTATATTCATCTAAGAATCAAATGCAGCTTTAAAAAAGAAAAAAAAAAGCTTTTCCACAAAAGGCAAATCTGTTCACCCAATACAATTGATAGGTAATACCTTATGAATATGCAGGATGTAACTTTTCACTTTTACACTTGCTTAAAAATGTGTCCCTTAAAAACAAAATAAAATAAATCATAATAATAAATAAATACCAAATCAGAGTTGTTATAAATTAGTACAAACTAAATTACTAACACCAAATTGGAGAAACCAATTAAAAACTTAAAAAAACCACAGACTTTTGTTTTACAGCAAATGGGTACCGAATCTCCTCAAGGGTACAGGCCAAGAGGACACAGCTTGTTTTCTACAAGATCAACTAACCTCATCCCTTTAAATAATTGTCCCTTCCAGCTTAAAAAAAAAAAAAAGGATTCCACATAAAAATCCCAAGCACCCGATACAAGATCACCAATTTCCACTGAAATATTTTGTAGTACTGGCTACAATAAAAACAAAACCCAAGTTCAGCATTCATAAAACCCTTTTCATCCACAGACCTGAAAGCTGGGTATTATCTCACTGGCAGCCCCCATCAGAACCTCCCACCCACTATAGATCAACACCTCCCACTCTGTTCCCATGCTTCCCACCCACCACATTCAGCTGTTTCACACGAGCGGGCAGGAGGCGAGGAGGGAGGGAAGAGAAGCAAGGATGCAGCATGCTCAAGGGAGGGGGCAGAAGAGGGGTGGGGCCTACAGCAGAGCCAGGGATCAAGCACCCTCAGCACTTTGCAAGATCAGCACCTACAGTTAAAGAAGAGTCCATTCTGGTCAACCCAGAGCAATTCACAAGTCAAACTGTACTGAACTCCATCTTCAGGCTCTGTCTCTGACTTCCTTAGTCAGTTCGCAGTGAAAGAACCAAGCTTATTCCAGAGTCCCCACTTACTCCCTCACTTCACCCCTCTCAGACTTTTGTTCTCAAGGGAGGGGGGGGAGAGGTGTCTTCTCAGTTTCTCTATGGAGAGTGCAGCTCCAAGTGTTATTTGAGCTCCCGCTGCCTCTCCAGACCCCAAACTGATCTGGATTTAGGAGTCTTAAATTACTTTTCCTGCAGAGCTACAGTGAGTAGCAGCTGCCAGGGCCTGGCTTGAGCTCTCAAGCTACTTTCAACGCAGAGCAGCAATGGTTAACTGTGTAACCGAGAAAATATTTGTCGGCTACATGGTTAGCAGATTACACGCAATTTAACATCCCTACTCCAGACACCTCTGATTAAATGTGAATGGCCATCATCTTGGATACATCAAGTTATTAACATTTTACCAGCCCAAAACTTCAATACTGGCTCACCACTTCCTTTATTTAACCAATTTTTGAAGGATACTCAATCTGCAACATAAACTCTAAAGATGACATCACTCTATGGGAGGGCAGAGAGCGTGCATAAACTGTGAATCAGGAAAGCCTCCTAATCTCCATCCATAATCCATTGGAAAATGGAGGTTAGTCATTTATTTTATAGGACTATTTGACAGTATGTCACCTGCTCTGTGTGTACATCACTTCAAAACCTAGATAGACCTAATTTTCCTCTTTACTTTGATCATTTTTATAATGGCGGCATTGGATATGCATAATTAAATCTCAAATGCAATTTTAACACACACCTCCCAAATACCTTGCAGTAATAGGATATAAACTTCTGTACCAAACAAAACTATCCCTTAAAGTTCAAGCATTGTTTCAAGATTTATTGTAGATTCTTCATTCACATCTCTAGTAAGATTTTCTTTCACACATCCTTTAAGGAGACAAACTAGAGATATCTGTAAACAAGCAGAAACTTTCACAAAATTCCTTGCCAAAAGAACAAGCATGATTCAGATTCACACAAACAGCAAAACCAAACAAACTTCTCTCCTTTTAATCATATACTATTACACATTGGCTTGTTCTCCTAAAACTGAAGCAGTAAATGCAAGAAAGCTAGTTAAAAAGTAGAAAGTAGTACCAAGTGGTTTGTCGTATATGAATAATACAAAAACAAAACAAAACATAAACAAACGTCAGATTCCACTTCACCTAAAGATAGATATCCTTCTATTCCATTTGTTGAACAGTTAATTTGGGATGCTTAAAAAAAAAAAAGTTTACCAGTACATATTGTATTTCCCCAAAAGGCACTTCTCCCCATAATCACCATGCATATGCAAAATTCTAACACTACAGCTGCATTCTTTTTTCTTATACTTATTCACCTAAAACAGCCAAGACAGCATTCAAGTCAACTCAGTGAACAAACCACTGAAACTATATAAGCCACCTCATTTAACTCTGATGCATTGTTACCAGTTTCACACAAGTTAGACCAGATCCTTTCTATATTAGTCACTCAAGTGCACAAGCATGTGATTTTCCATGTAAGCAGGGGCGGGGGGGGGGGGGTAAAGTTGTTATGGAGAAAGTTCTTACTATCAGATTAGAAATAACAGAATTACTGAAGGGGCCGGCAATGTCAATTTCAGAAAACAATATTTTACTTTACTAAATGAAATACATGAGAAGTATTCGATGACGTTAGAAGTACATATTTCTAGGGACCACTTGCTTAATACAAAACACTTCTGATATTGGTGTTGGAGAAGATAGAGTACATTGAATCTTTGCCAGCTTAAAAATTAAATTTTAACTATCTTTAGATTGCTAAAAAACAGTCCCTTCTCTTCTGAAACATAAAACTGTTTATGTTTCTTCATCTCCAAATTAGATTACCAGAACTCATTCCCCATCGGGTAAAACACAGTGGTCACAAATAATAAGAGAAGGTGTAAATAAATAACACTTCCAACTCCACCAACTCTCTCAGTTTCAAGAGAGTTTCAAATCTTATCCTAATCTACAGAATGCAATAGTTTGGGACAGAACTGCAAAAAGAATATGCAAAACAGGAATAGTGAAGCTGAAGACATCCTGGACAAGGCTCAAAGGCAGACAATGTTTTCAGCAGTAGCCCCAATAATGGAATTTCTTGACAGAGAACACTGAGTCCAAGCATGGCTGTGTTCAAATAAAAAAGTAAACACATTTTCAATACCAAAATAAGGGCCTTGCAGGGGCATAGTTTTAATAGGTAGAATCTTAATATGGAATAAAACGAAACAAAGGCTGACAAAAAGGTTAATTACAATTCCATCTTGATCCCAATCTTTTCTGGACAAAGAAAAGTTACATACAAGCAGGCATAACTTCCTTCATCTAAATAAAACTGTTGACTGCTACCCTCACAAAAGAAAGGTTTTTTTAAAAGATTGCATCTGTTACTAGCTGTTGGTTTATCATGGATTTCTGTCATGTGTTTCTCAGATTTTAGTTCTGGAATAAAAACAAAATGAGTTTCAAAAAAATGGCATATTTACTTTTTTTTTTTTTTTTTTTTTTATAAATGGTTCAAAGTACATGTTTAGTAACCAAGTCCAGCCTTTGGCCTCTAGCACCACATTTCAGATGCGTCTGGATACCAAAAGCTTGACTAAAGCAAGAGGTATTTGTTCTGTTTAATGTGTCCCAATCAGCAAGAGAGCTCCACCTCCTCTTATAGTCAGCTCTCTCTCTTGGTCAATGGATCAGTCATGTGTTACTTGTTCCAGAGTGAGTCACGTGATCAGGCCAACTTCCAAAAACACAGCTACTAAATAAAACACGCTGCCAAGGAACAACTCACAAATACGTTTGCCAAAAATTGACATGTGGTAGAATCTCTTACCCTATCAGCTTTTACTGCCCATACACCTTCCGACCTGACCAGCTATTTTAACAAGTATAGTGGGTATGTCTACACTACAAAATTAGTTGAATTCATTCAGGTTGATTTTTAGCATCCAAATTTACAAAGTTAAGGTTCAATGTCCTCACTGGGCACATGAGGTCGATTGAGTGTGCTCCCAGTACTGTGGCTACCTTTGACTTTGATAGTTCCCACAGTTCTTGTCACCCCTTTGAATTCTGGGTTAAGCTCCCAAAGCTTGATGGGACAAATATTGCAACAGGTGGATTTGGATACATTTTATCAGTCTCCCATAATGAACTTATCTCCTCCTTCCCTGCTTGAAAGCAATGGCAAACAGTATTTCGTACCTGTGCTCCCCTCTCCCCCAATGGTTATCCACCCAAACACCATAGTAGGGCAAGCACGGACACCGGCTCAGCTTCGAAGTGCTATGGCAAACATTGCCGACACCACACCCGTTATGCTGTGGTCTGTCCAGAGCCTAGCCAGGAGCTGCTGGAGAGAGGAAGAGTGCTAGGAGGCTACACAACACAGACACGTATGAACCCACTGAGTGGAGCAATTTGCAGATGCTGGCAGCAGTCAATCCTGTTGACACAGTGGAACTCTGATCTAGTCCTATTAGTCAAGCACAGGCTGGTGGGACTGCAATTATGCAGCTAAGGAATGATGTTCAGTGGCTGCAAAACATGTGCATGCTTAAAGCCACTTTTATGGAACTTTGAGAATTACTTTCCCCCGCCCTGAAGCACCACAATACCAAAACGTAGAATCTTGCAATGCCAGACTGCTACCAGTCTGTTGGGACTCAATTCGGAGTGGGTAAATCTACAGTGGGGGCTGCTGAGATCCAAGTAGCCAGCGCAAACAATACCCTTCTGCTAGGAAGCACAGCAACTCTGAGAAATGTGCAGGACATAATGGAGGGCTTTGCCATGATCAGGTTCCCTAAATGTGGTGGGGTGATAAGGATGT